GTTAGCTCACAGGCGTTTTGAAAATCGAAATCACCATGAAAAAGGTGAAATGGCATCAGACGCCCCAGTTAGTGTCCTCGTGTGCACACGGTGCTGTCAGGTTGTGCCCTGACCTCGTGCCTACAGGCAGAAGCATGATGCAGGGTGAGGTGCCCGATTCAGGGTGAGGTGCCCGAGGGGCTGAGAGCTGGGCAGCGGTTCTCTCGGAGGAGCCTGCTTCCCCGTGTGATTGGACGTTTCCAGTTCAGACTTTCCACACTAGTGAGAACTGACGTGCTTTAGCCGAGGAGCGTCAGGAGGCAATGGTACCAGAGGGCTTCTCACGCACACACGCAGTGTCTGTCCCCACCCCGCGGTGACACTGAGCTCACACATGACTGTCCCTGTTCACTGCAGATGCTGCAGTCGGAGGAGACGTCCAGCACCTCCCAGCTGAATGAGCTCATGATGGCTTCCCAGACCACGCTCCTCTCCCAGGACACACCCAACATGCCTGCCGACACCACTGAGCTGAAAGGGACCTTCCTCATCAACCTGGAAGGTGAGGAGGGTGGGGAGGACTCGTGTGACCGGAGCACAGACCGGCGTCCAGCGGTGCCGGAGCTCTGAAGGCTCCTGCCATGGCAACGGGCAGGTTCCTAAGCAGCTCTCGAGAGTGTCCCGCCCCATGAGCTTGGGGATGTGGTGCCAAGGATGGAAGCGGGTTCCTTCTTGCCTGTGACACAGTGGCTGTCAGCACCCTAACTCCCGTCTGGCTTGTCCTGTGATACCTGGAATCCGAGTGCTGCCCGGCCCTTCCCACCCGTCCCAGCAGGAGATGTCCAGGGTAGCCCCAAATCACACCACTGCTTAGCTGTCCTGGAGGAGGGGAGGAAGTCCTGTGGACCCACTCCCACGGTGCCTGTCAGCCTCACTGCTGCTCACCGATGGACGTGGAGACGGACGTCACCGAGGAGAACGGGCAGATGTGCTGGGAGGTGGTGTTGCCCGTGTCTTCCCTCCAGGGCTCAGGTCCCACAAGACGTGCTGGCTTATGGGCAGCTCTGACTGTCAGCTTGCTTTCCAAACTGCTGATGTCCAGTCTTGGTGCGATGACTAGAAAGTAACTTAGTTACCAACCTGACGTCTGAGGGGATCATACTGGAGAAAGTGTGTCCTTTCGTCCAGACCAAGAAAGATGGGCACACTGCAGCTGTCTCTAATGTGGCTCTTTTTAAAATTCTTAAATTCTCTGCCTTTCCAGCCACATTAATCCATCAGAACCACCCCAGATTGGGAGCCGGAAGGGCTGCCTGCCTGAGTTAGGTATGGAACCCGGAGCTGAGCTGGGGAGCAATCAGTTAACCTCCCCGTTCCCGTCAGCTGTGCGATCCTGACGTGGCTACATACGTATGTCATGTGACAGGCTTCCCCGGGGCAGGAGGAGAAAGCTCCATCAAGGAGCAAGCACCTGCCAAACCAACGAGGTGAATGGCCCGTCACGCACGCGTGTTTCCCTCCCCAGGTGGCGACATCCGGGAGGAGTCGGAGTATAAAGTCATCGTCACGCCCACGACCAAAGAGAAGTGCCCCCGCTGCTGGAAGTTCACGGCCGAGTCCTCTGACTCGCTCTGTCCCCGCTGCGCCGACGTCGTCGGGGGGAAGTAGTGCCACGCGCTCCGCCCGGCAGGCCCGGCTGCGGGCCAGGCGGACTGTTTACAACCCCGGGAGGCAACGCTGGGTGGAGGGTGAGCGCCAGAGTAAGCGAGCTAAGGTTTCCCATCGCTGGATAAACAGTGTGTACGCACCTGCAGAGTCGTAAGTGCAGATGGGGACTGGGGTATCCATCCACGGCGGACTCGCTCAGAACACGGGCACTGAGTCCGCTCACCTTCAAGTGAGCTGAGCGGGAAACGTTTTATATTTTACAAATTTTCCTGACTCAGGCTGTACAGTGTCGTCGACAAATAAAGGCATTCTGGAAAAGGAGTGGTGTCGGTGCACAGATTGTGCGTCCCGCCTCCCCAGGGCACGCCCACCTCTCAGAGGAGCTGGTTTGTGTGGCTGAATTGGGACGGGAGCATCCGTGAATCTGTTCTTCCCACAGACGAGGGGAAAACCTGAATGGTGCGGACTTAACATTTGTGAATGTTGAGGAAACACCGTGAAAGCTGGAAGTTTATTTCACTAGCATACATAAATTCACAACAAGGAGCGGACAGGAAGCAGCGGTATGTACAGACCTGCATATACATACATACTGGCATGTACAGCACATGACGCCAGGCCACGGAGGGCTCCCCCGCCACTCGGCACCGTCACACCCCCAGGATGGCTGACCACTCAGCCACTCCTCCCTCTGCTCAGTCCAGCAGGTCCTCTCCTGTCAGCCGAGGGGCTTTCCCTGCTGCTGTCAGCACTGCAGTCACAGCCACTTCTAACCGGATGGCTGTCACATTCCTATCAGCTTGGTATTATACGTCTGAGATTTTTGTGGTTTTAAATTGCATTTAATTGTCTTTTTTTTTTTTTTTAAATAAAAAGGAAGCTAGTTAATTATTAACGGTGTTTACTTTGACCTAAGATGGATTTTTATAACAAAGGTGAAATGGAGAACAGCCTGTTTGTTGTTTTTTTTCTTTGTGCAACAGAAGGAAGCGCTTAGAAGCCTGATATTTGCTGTTCCTCTTCCTCTAAATTTATCCCGGCTCTTGGGAGTCTGCGTCTAAACACGCCTGGGATGTAGATGCTGTGATCACTGAGTGCTAGTTCTTTCAGCATCACAGGGGGACCTCACACGGGCCTGTTTAATGCTGTGGAGGGGTTAGGGGGGAGTGGGGCAGGCATGTATCTAGGAAAACTGCTGGTTATTGGCTTCCATCAGTAACTGCGCTGAGTGCACTAAGCCCTTTGTTTCAGAACCAGCCACTTGACAGCAAACCTCACTCCTTGACTTGGGGCTTTTCCTCGTTACAGACCGTGTGCAGGCAGACCTCTGCGGCACTGGCTTCTGTCCAGGCCGGGGCAGTAAAGCAGTTCGTGACCGATTTGCTGATGGTCTTGCCATCAGTCTGCACACATTTCGGTGTCTGTGGAGTGCAGGAGGCCAGGCTGGCCTGCACTGGCTATCTCCTTGCCTATCGGGGTGATGTGAAAAGCCCTTGATGAAATAGTACATGGTATACCTGTTTCTTAACCATACAACTTGGCACTCAACGTTGCAATTCCGAATGTGGATTTTAGGCTGCACATCTAACTAGAGACTCGATTTGTTACGGTTCTATGAGATGGCATGTCCTTCCAGTATAAGCTTAAGCAGTTTTATTAGCTTAAATGCTGATTAGGTATGTCTCCCCCTCCCCAAAGTGATATGGAATCTTTAAAAATGCCTAGAATTCCAAGATTTTTTAACCAGCTTCCAAAATGTATCACTAATTTCAGACTATATAGGAAAATCACATGGAGAACCTGTGTTAGATTAAACGTAACAGTAACTGTGACGCTGCCTGCTCACAGGAAACCATAGGAGTGCGTCTGGATGGGGCAGCAGAGACCCAAGCAGAGGCTGGACTAGCTCCCGGGGCCACCCTGCACCGGCGCCTCCTCGGGCTGACCGGCCCGCACCCCTGCCCAACAGCCTGCACTGCTCTTTTTCAAGGTTTCCAGTGGAGCGGTAGTTGCTGAGTTTTAGACAGGGGCGTTCCTGTTTGGATGTGATCTGGAGTTCAGAGCATTTACACTGGAATGCCCTCACATCGGACAGTTTTCTTCACGCCCCTGAAGCACATATTTCTCAGCCCTGCCCAGCTGCTCTAAGTGGTTTCTGACAAGGACGAGAAGCGCTGACCTCTGTCACTATGAGCTGCCGCGAATAACAGTGACCCGTGACAGGTACCACTAACTGCTCCGTATGGCTACTCTCCAAGACACACCAGTGTCAGTGCTCCGTATCTGTAGAGCTCAAAGCACTTTTTAGAGTTTGGGTTAATGTTTTGGGTTTTACTCAAATAGCTCTTCAGCACGTGGACGGCTCGAGGCACTGTAGGGTACAAGGTTCATTGTATTTTATCCTCTCAACCAGCTCTGAGGTAGGTTTGCTAAAGCTGTATTGTCACGAAGCATTTTTCTCCCTGTTCCCGAGAACAGATAACATGACCAGCAGCAGACATTTCCAGACATTTGTAAGAAAAATAAAGTTAGACTTAAATGTTTTAGCATCTTTGCCCCCCCTTTTTTTTTAAACATAAGTTTTACAAGATAATACATTTTTACAATGACCTGATGTGGGTACGCCTTTGACTCTTGGCAAAAAGCGTCTTACCTTGTGTTAAGATTAATTTTGGTGTGTGGCTCTCACATCTCAGATTCTCAATTTTGGCAAGTACAGGCAGGTCCTTTTGGTACCAGGACGGGTTCTATCTAATATCTCTTCTGACCTTGAACGAGTTCCTCTTTTGCAAGGTCGCTGTCCTCTGGGAAAAGAACCTGTCAGCTTCCAGAACTCTTGGTGGCAGTCCCGTGAGAAATTATAACAAAAGCATCTTTCTAACAGCTGTGAAAGGAGAGTGAGTGGGACGTTTCTCTAGTTGTACTGATGGGACTGTATTTACATGACCGTTGAAATTTACTTAGAACAGTAACATTTGCATATGAAATATAGTATCTTAGAATAAGAACATAATCTGTAAATTATAACCCATCTTAAATAGCAAAATTTAACAATAAAGCTGCGTAAGAGCTTGAATTAGATATAAACATTAAAACATCTGTAGGAGGAGTTAATAGCATCATTGATATTTGTTCATATTTTGCCATAATTGATATCTGTTTATATTTTAACTTCGGTGTTAACCCAAGGAGTGGAACCGAGCCAGGACTGTACTTTTTAAAAGTAATATACATATTTTTAAATTTATTTTACAAAAGAAAAAAAAAAAAAGACAGACTCCCTCCATGAAATCCCAGCTCTGACTATAAAATAACCATGCACTACGTCACGTCTAGTCACACAGGCTGACGGGTCATAGAGAAGGAATGGCTATGGCTTCCACAGCTTCGATGAGGTGTAAGGCGAGACTGTACTGCCCGTGGTTCTCCGGCAGAAGCTCGATGACTTTATTCACTAGTTTAGCTGTCGTCGCAATTGGCACTTCCGTGTTTTGAAGATCCTGGGGGTCCTACAAAAGAGGACACAAAAATAACCCATCAGTTACCCACGCCTGAATAAAAAACACTTTCTTCAGGGCGAAGTCGGCTAGTAATTAAGATTGTCTCCTGAACTGGTATGGAAGGAAGCAGACATGGAGGCCTCCTTCCGAGCGAGCGGACTCACCATCGCTTTCAGCCAGGTGCAGAGCGTGGGGGACAGCCGGGCCAGCAGCTCCCTGCCTTCCCGCGCCTGCGTGTGGAGCAGCGCGTGAGCCAGCCTCTGCCCCGTCAGCACCAGCAGCTGAGAGGCTAGGACCTCTTTGTCATGCACCTGCAGGATGGCCTGCGGGGGAACACGGACAACCAGGTAAGAGCCGGCAGGGGTCTCGCTCAGTTCTGATCTGTGGCTACACGTGTGTACAGTTGACCCTTGAACAACATGAGAAATACATTCTCTGCTCTGGCTCACTGTAATGCCAAGAGCATATAGTATGTAATACATGTAACACGCAGAATGCGTTCACCAACTGTTTGTTGTTGGTAAGGCGCCCAGTCAACGCTAGGCCATCGGTAGCTAGGTTTTGGGGAGTCGAAAGTAGGCGCAGATTTTCAACCGTGTGGAGCCAGCTCAACCCCCACGTTGTTCAAGGGTCAGCTGTACAAGCAACCTATCATCCCAGTCAAGCTTAGTGTTTACAACCCAAATTTCCGCTTCTCAATTTGGTAACGACTGCAACTTGTGAGAGTCATTTTCAAGCTTCTGTGTGTTTTCTTGACTGCGAGGCCCTGTGCAGTGAGCAGGCCTGCACGCTGGACTGTACTCAACATTAAGCAGGAATGTTAATATTTTAATACTCTGTTCCGTTGTGGTGCCTAGAAGCTCAAACAGAAGGATAAGCAAAAAGCTCTACGGGGGGGTTGGCTCTTGACTCCAACCAACCACTTCCTCCCCGGAGCCTGTGAGCACCCCGAGGGGCTGTTACCTCTTCCCCTAAGTGGTCCACTCCGTAGTTGTAGAGTTCCCACACGTAATGCCTCCTCACGACGTCTTCGCTGACTTGAAGGTGATGGGCCAGGTCCACGGCCAGCACTGGCCACTCCAGGTCTTTCCCAGCGGGAGCGGCGGGGGCCGCGTCTGAGCCGTCCTTCTCCCTGGCGCCCGCGTGCTGAGCCTGGACAGCGGCGCTGACAACCTTCAGCAAGAACTGGAAGGGAGACCGTGGCATCCCGTTAGTATGTTTCCGTGAAACATACCTGTGAGAGGGGCTTCTCCATGAAAACTGTGCGTTTCTCAAGAAGCGAGGCAATATAAAGATAAAACTAGCTCTCCAGCATGCTGCGGAAGTAAGTGGTCAGCCTTTAAGGCCAGCTAGGTTTTTGTGTGACACCTTTTCCCCAAGAAAGAAAAAAACAAACAAAAAAAACAAAGCCCAACAGCTGACTTACCTGCTGTCGTAAAGAAATGAAATTTGGGTCCATTTCTCCACTGGGTAGTAACTGAATGGAAGTTAGGTCTTTGAAAAATGCATTTTTCCCCTAAAGAGAAAGAAGAGACCAAGAACACATGAATATGGATTAAAACTAATGGAAGACTGTCCTGCGGTGAATGGCATGTTACTTGGAAGGAAATGGACCACAGAGCAGAGTGGCCGCTGAGCCGGCAGCCGCGGGCTCTCGTCCCAGCCACCCCCTCTGTCCCGGGAGTCTGATGGTGGGGAGAGGACCCCCAGGGATGGTCCCGCTCCCGCCTGCTCCCCCAGCTCCCAGGCGGCTCTGGCCCTGAGGCACTTGCCTTACTGTCGAAAAGCGACAGTGGCTTCACGGCCCTTAGGGAAAACCGCATGACCGCGAACAGGATGGAGCTCAGGACCGAGTGGTGCTCCACCAGCGGGTAGTGGATGGGCTTCTGCTCCAGGGCCAGCTCCACAATGGAGATGGGCCCTTCGACGGCGAGCCACGCGTCCTCCGTCTCCAGGTCGGGCGCCTGCATCTCGTCCCGGCCGACGTCTGCCTGTGCGTTTGAGAATGGAGAACCTCATTCAGAATGGGTGAAGTCAGAGCGTGCACGCATCTCATCTAAAGAGCTCACCAGGAGCCCTAGCTGGTGTTGCTCAGTGTTGGCCTGGGGACTGAAGGGTCCTGGGTTCGATTCCGGTCAAGGGCACATGCCTCGGTTGTGGGCTCGATCCCCAGTAGGGGATGTGCAGGAGGCAGCCAATCAATGTTTCTCTCTCATCACTGATGTTTCTATCTCTATCCTTCTCCCTTCCTCTCTGAAATCAATAAAGAAATATTTTTTTTTTTAAAAAGAGCTCTCCAGTAGCAAAGTGCAAACCTCTAGTTCTCTCCATCCCAAAATTATCATTTAAAAAAAAAAACAAATTTAATCCTAGTAAGAAATATCACTATTTTTAGGCTTAAGTCAAAACTTTGAATGAAAATACTCCTGTAGTGAATATCTGTAAATCCAGTGAGTTTCAAAATAATTAGCAGCTCAGACAGTTTAGAGTGAAAAGACACCTTTTACCTCCAACAAAGTCTGAAGGAGATCCAAGCAGGAGCCGAGGAAAGAGGTCATCGCCGTGTCGCTCATCCCCACGTCCTGGTTTCAACAAGGGGACAGAGTTCGTTCCTGCAGCAAAGCTGCTCCAGGTGCTCTCCGAGAAATAAAACGACCTTCCACACTGAACAGACGGGGGCACCAGCACCTTTCTGTTCCTTCCTTAGGTCTCACTGGCTTTAAAGAAGATGGCACCGCGGTTCATTTTTAGCGGCTGGTGTCCCGGGGCACTGCACGGACACAGTGTATCCGCCACCCTGGACGGGCCACTGGTGCTCACTGCCCCAGAGTCACAGGGGACAGCCATGCGACAGCCACTTCATTATGTCCCACGTGACAGGAAACAGCCAGCCTGGCCTCAGAACGCCTTTCAGGTACTGACCGGAACCCTCTGCACAAAACTCAAAAACCCTCAAGCCTGTGATCTAAACACCCGAGGATGCTGTGTGCAACCATCGTTCCTGCTGCTGCCCTTAAAGGGCATGGCCGGGGTGGGAGGGGGGGCCTGCTGTCACAGGCTGTTTATTAAACCAGCAGTCAGCACATCCCTAAGATGTTTAGAGAGAGAGAGTATGTGACATCAGCTACAGTCACAGGGATTCTTCAGCCACGGTGATTTCTGGGGACCGAGGGTCTGTAATAGTTGAGTTAGTCCCAATATTTCTTTTATGTGCAATAATATTTCAAAGTCTGAGTAAAAGCCAGTGCCCGTGGGCAGGCGTGTTATCAAACTCTCTGGACAAGTTATTACATACAGGGAGATCAAACCGCCACTCCCAGATCTACTGCAAGTTGAAGCTCGATGTTTTGGGATCAAGTTCTCACTTGAACAACAGCAAAAACACGAAGCAGCGGCAACAACCTGTGACCCTCCCGTCCGCAGGGCAGAGCTGCTGAAAGGCTGGCTGGCCCACGCTACCTGAGCATCTGCACAGACAAGTCAGGACCAGCGAGAGCTCGAGAGCAGGTCCCCTCAGCCCTACCTTCCAATTTCCTATCTCCTGACACGCCACGAGCAGGTGCAAGGCAGAACTCACCCCCGGGTTCAAGTGCGGGATTAGCAACTGCACATCCAGCCCAGGGCATGCACTTACCCTGCGGCAGAGCCTCTCCTTGGGCGCCTTTCCGACCTGAGACAGAGGGCAGGAAGGCTGAATTATTTAGTGACTTAAACAAAGAGGCGTCAGACACACACACACACACACACACAGGGCATCACTCTGGTGCGGGAAGTAAGAAGTAACCACATTCTAAAAATACAGACACACCTACCAAGAAATGTGGCAACCATAGCACAATGCAGTTAACTGTGTGGTGGAGTTCTGTAAAAGCACATTGCGGAAAAAAATGCCACGCTGGGCTCACAGATAATCCTCTTCAAAAATACAGATTTGTGAACTACTAAAGGAAGACTTAAGAACATCTGGTTCTTACTTCGCGTAATTAAATAACTAGGTTTCCTTGAGACTCGGAACCAAACTCCAGGCTACGGATAAGGAGCAGCTAGAATTCCGTTAGCTGGTGAAGACACAGGGACTAAATGGTTGGAAGGGAGGGACGATCTAACACAGACAGAAGCCCCACGTCTAGCTCGGAAAGCCAGCTGACTCCATGATGCCGTGGATAATAAGACCGCTGCTCGCTGCACTGCCCCGGTGGTGAGTGGCAGGTAGCGTTACGTGACAGGACCACTCGCAGGAGGCAGCGATGTTTGGAAGAAGGGACTCCAGGACAAAGGACTCCGCCTCATTGGCTCCTGCTGAGATGGCAGCAACGGGTCTTTGAACAGGCAAGCTCAGCCCACCCAACTCCAATGTGTCTCCCCCTGTCGCCGGACCAGTGAACAGGAAGCCAGGAGGGGAAACGTAGGGTCACCTTATCCAGCAAGTACGTGGCGGCAGAAAACCTCTTCACCAGGAACGTGTTCCACATCATCAGGGCGATGCCTACGGCAAGAGGAGGAGATGCAGTGAGTGGAGGTTCGGGGCTCCGCTCCCATCACACGGACGAACTCGGCTTCCTGAAGCTTCTACCACTACACGGGCCGTGTGCTGAGATATCAGCTCTTACGCCTCAGGCAATACGTGTCAAATTAATAAGAACCTTCACTTAACAAACATCAGAACGGGGCCTACGCCAGTTTGGCTCAGTGGATAGAGCGTCGGCCTCTGGACTGAAGGGTCCCGGGTTCGATTCAGGTTAAGGGCATGTGCCTTGGTTGTGGGCACATAACCAGGGCTAGGGTGTGCGGGAGGCAGCTGGTTGATGTTTCTCTCATCTCTCTCATCGATGTTTCTAGCTCTCTGTCCCTCTCTCTTCCTCTCTGTAAAAAAATCAATAAAATATATATTTTTTTAAAAATCAGAACGGGGCTGCAGAAGAGGATAGCCAAATGGTCAGTGACTACAAGAAAAGACTCATGTCTTTAGTGATAAGACAAAGATGAGCTAAAAGGACAGCGATATCACAGAACCACAGGAAGGCTGACTTAGACATGACAATACCGGGTGTGGCAAGGACGTGGAGACCACTGGAATGAGTGCTCATTCCCTGCGGGAGGGATGTTAAATGGGTTAAAGCACTCGGACAACTGGCAGCTCTGAACTGAAACTAAATAACAGCACGTCTGCGATCCAACCCAGCAATTCCACTGCAGGAATGAGCACAGCTTCATTCACACAGCCAAACACTGGGAACAAACCACATGTCTATCAACTGACTGTTCTCATACATATAGTCATCCAGGAAAGTGATGGGTAAAAAACACTAGAAACCAAAATACAGACACTGTAATTAAAAAAAACACACCGGGGCTTTATACTTGCATATTTAAGAAACTCTGGCATTTAAATGAAAATTTCCGAAACAGTTGTCAGTTTTATCAGTGAGGACACTCGGCTCTGGGGACCATAGTCCCGGATGAGTCACTTTAAATCTTATTTTGTTTCCTGAAAGAAGGTGTGATCTCAAACGGTGAATAATGAACTAACGGTCTAGCTCTCCTGAGGCCTTTGGGATTTCTGCAGTTTGACTTCATCCACCTACAGGGAGGTGGTCTGGGAGGAGAAAGAGGCAGCTTTGGAGACTTGATCACAGGGACCGACAGTGATACTTCCTCCGACCAGCCCCAAACCTCGTCTCGAACCTTCGGTGACCCCACTAGCCAAGGCTCAGCTCCTCAGCTCTTCTGGGAACTAACCTAAGTGGAACCAGCAGCCTGTTTGCAATTTCTCTACAGCTGCCGGCCCCTCCCTTTTCCGGACGGCATTTCTCTAAGAAAGCCAGTACTTTGTAATAAAAACAATCCACGCTAAGGTTTCAGGGGGTAGGACGGTCAATTAGAAACATAACGGGATGTGAATGTAAAGACCCTTGTCCTTGCGTCAGTTATGTTTTTACACCTGTTTACTCACCGTTCTGAACATGTGCGTTAAGGATGTGCTTCAAGTGTTCTATTGACCTCACAAGATAACGTGCTTCCTTACATGAAGGGAGAAAAAAAAGAGAAAAAAAGGGATATAACTGAATAAGTGTTTCAAATACAAATGGGGTGTTTCTATCTCTTTCTCCATCTCCCTTCCTCTCTGAAATCAATAAAAATATTGATACACACACACACACACACACACATTTACTTATCACATCTCACAGGGAACAGGCAAATCACACTGGTCTTAGGTACAGAGGACCCGAGGCTGAATCCCGAGTTAGCAGTGTGTGCTTAGCAAAGAACGCAACTTCTGTGGACCAAGTCTAGCGTGAGGATTGACAATGCCTGCACGGTTTGAGGTACAGAGACAGCCGAGGGGAGAAGCCGTGTTCCTCTAAGTTGATGACACAGCCTGAGTGTGCACAGGGTGAGCGCAGAAAGACAACCCCCAAGAGAGGCCACGTCTCACCTCCGGGTCCTTGTTCCACTGCACCACGTACTCCCAGCAGCAGTGTGCGTGCAGCACGTCCAGCTCCAGGCTGCACGGGAACTGCTCGCGGGCCGCACGCAGCAGGTCTGCAAGGCAGAGGCAGGGGCTGTGACTGCTGCCCCCACGGACACTGGGGAGCTGGGGCGGGGAGGGGGAGTCTGCTCCAGGCGCCGACGACCCCACATTTGTGTGTTACCTGGTATGGCTCCCAAGTCCATGTCCGCCTCCGACATCTCACATAAACCTCGGCTGCTACCCTCCTTGGGTTCGTCTGGGTTTTCGGCATCTCTTTCTTCGTTGGCCAGTGTTAATACCTCAGGGCGCAAGTCCTGTTTAAATACCCACTTGGCCACACTGTCTGCGATGCCACCTGCCACGTGGAAACAAGAGAGAAGATGAAAAGGCGCAGCACAGCGTCTGCGGAAGCGTACCATTGGGCAGGACCCGCATGGCCAACCACGAGTCCAAGTGCCAACACTCAGTTTTCAGCCTGAAAGTGACCCCAACCCAGGAGAGTCTCAGCAGTTACTACCTACACTCCACCTGGGACAGTAAGGCATTTCCTAGCTAAGGGCATTTCTAGGCTCACCTAGAATATTAGGCAAATATAAGTGCATTTGCATACACGTCTGGATACTGCATACCTTCTACATGCACAATTCAAATATACTTTATCCGATGGAGACGAAGAGATGAATACATCTTTGGAAAACACTTCCATTTAAATGTAAGTGAAAGCACAGATTAGCACGATACTGGTCTAGGCTTTTAAGGACAATATATCACTTTTAAGAGTCAACTAACTTGCCTATATGGAATTATTAGGGGCAAAATGTAGCTATAGTAATCAACAACATGACGCTATATGCCATGTTGCAATCAGGTTAGTCCAAAAGCTTATAAATGCAAACTGAAAGGCATTCACAATGAAGAGTCCTGTTTTTTACCCAAAATGAATTACACCTGTCATTTACTATTGAAATGTCTTCTCTGCCTTTCCTCCTATTTTGACTCAAATGTACACCTTCCCACAAAAAGAAAGCCTCACAGTAAAATTACAATCATCAGGGAAATGGGAGAGCAGTGAGCTGGGCGATGTCACTTCCTGTTTGGCTTCCCGATCACTGGCAAATTTTCCTTCCGGAATCAAGGCCCTGGATGCTGCTGCTTCGGTTAATATTAAAATGGTGTTCCCACACCTGCCCCGGGTGGCAGCGTGGAGTGCTGTGAATTTATAATTAAAAACTTCACAGGTCTTATAAGGAATGAGAAAATAAAGTACCTAAATAAAAACCTATAAATACACGCGTATTTATAAACCCAGACATAGTCATCCCAGCATCACAAGCCTGACGGAGCCGCTGGGAAGAAAAGGGGCCGGTCAAGGTCATCCAAGATGTAAATGCTTATGGTCCTGAGGTGGAAGCCCGGGACTGACTACTCTAAGGAGGCAGGACCTCATGTGTCGGAAAAGAGGTACACGGTTCAGTGGAAATCAGCAGGAAGAAGGGAAGACCTGCAGTCCTGGTCTCATGAGAGCTTCTGGGAGGAGGTGGCCCGTGGGCTGAGTAAGATGTACAACTCAGGGTCCAGGAGAGAAGAATGAGAAAGGGGGAGGCAGGGAGAGAACTTCTTGGTCTCAGTCTTAGTCCCTGAATGCGTGTGAACACATGGGCAGCCCCGAAGACCTGAGCTTATGGCTTAGATACCTCAACAGCTATGGCATTAGACATTAAAATGCAGAAGTTGTAAAGAATGTTATAATTAATTTTAAAGTGAAAAAAAATAAACCCACCGCAGGTTAATGTTTTATGAAAAGGACTATAATTCTCAAAGCCCAACAGGATTTCCAGGGAAGAGAGGCGCTACACTTGGCAAATCTCTCTCTCCCGTCTGGCTCCATCTGGCTCGGTCGAGTCTCTGTTGAGCTCTCCTCCCGCCCGCTGGGCTCTGCTGTGCTGGGTGAACTGCTGGGGGAAGGAAGGGATGCACCCAGCCACAAAGTTGGAAAAGGGGGGACATTCTGGAGGCCCTCATTTTTAAGAACGGCTGCCTATTTTGCAAGGCTGGGGGTGTGGGTGGGGGTCCCTGAGCAGGGAACTGACAGGATCAGACTCTGAGAAGAAGCGTGTGGTTGGCTATTAATTTTAAATCTGAGCACATTGCTCTTTCCGCATTCTTTCAGTCACTGCCACCACAAACGCTTTCCACCTCCAGCACAGAGCTGCACACACACATGCTCCCAGACCCCTTACCTCTCCCTCCTTCCAGGAGCTTCCGGACGGAGAGCCGGGGCAGTGGCTCGGGGGGCAGCGAGGGCGCCCGGGTGGGGCGCGTGTCCGCTCTGCTGTGCAGCAGGGTCTGCAGGATGAGGCAGTCCTGCAGCTGCTTCAGCAGCAGCTTCCAGTACTCGGTGTCCAGAGACAGGGCCTCCCAGGAGTCCGTGAGGGCCTGGGCATCTGCGCCCAGCTCTGCCTGGGAAAACTGACAGACAGGGCCTGGTGACGACCTGGTGGGGATTCCGCATCACCACCAACCTGAAGGAGCTTTGAACCCGCGGGCTGATGGACAGCCGGGCACATCGCACAGAGCTTATCACTCAGCTGGATAAAACGTGAGGGTCAGGAGTGGGTGGGAGACTCGGGGCGAGGAGGATGGAGTGTCGCCCCCTCGCCCTCGGGCTGTCAGGGCCACGCTGGAGAGGGCCCGGCTTTCCTATCGGGACCAGGGATCTGACCTCTCCTTAGAATGCGCTCACCAACACAGAAAACGTGTCCCAAATGTCTCCCTCATTATTGCAAACCTCTCAAGCTGGTGATACTAACGCATGCTATGAACTACCGAGTCTGAGGGTTTAGCGACTCTGCAGACCTAGTTAAGTGTCTCCTCCAGGTTAATGTGGCTTCTCTCCAAAAGAAAGAATCTGAGCTACTGTGGATGTTAGCTTCCCCCTGCACCCTCCCCACTCACCTACCCACCCCCTCCGTTTTGAAAGCATCTCAAAGAGGTGAGGAGAAAACACCAGGAAAGGGTCATCCTGAGTCGTTGGGTGCTACATGCCCCCCACACCCTGTGCGCATACAAGGGGGGTCGAACACGGCCACTGCATTTGCAGGAGCTGGAGGAGCAAACAGGTCGTCTCACCCTGGCCTCTTTCACGTGGGAGACTGAGGCCACAGGACTCATTTTTAAGGGACTCGCCCCGATCACTAGCCACTGGCAGAGCCAGAGTAAGCTTAGCACGTGCCCCCTCGGGCCACGTGTGCCATGCTCACATGTGGGTGCCGTCTGAACGAACAGACTAGGGGCAGGGGAGCACCCCTTACCCCCTCCTGACCCTAAGAAGGCGGGCACACATCTCAGACCCCCGATGCCGCACCACACGAGGACGTGCGGTCCCTCCACTTACCCTCTTCTCGGTCGCGCTGTCCGAGATCTGCGCGGCGACCGAGTGGCCCACGTGGGCGGAGAGCAGGGCGGCCCCGTTGTTCTCGGACTGGACGCAGGCCGTGCGCATCTGCTGCCACCACGGGGACACCGACTGGGAGTCCCACGTGTCGTCGAGGGCCACTGCCAAGGTCAGAGAGGAAGCTTAAGTCTCCCAGTCCTGGGCCCGGCCTTCCGGGTCAAACACAGCGTTAGAACTCAGCCCCCTACGGCCAGCCTGCCTGTTAGCTGCATCAACTGGAAAACGGGCCTACAGTCCAGCTGAGTCAGAACACGCTATTCCACTTTCTTTTGCCGTGTTGGTCCCCTTGCTTTTTTATTTTATTTTTTTAAAATACATTTTATTGAATTTTTACAGAGAGGAAGAGGGAGGGATAAAGAGCTAGGAAACATCGATGAGAGAGAAATACCTATCAGCTGCCACTGGGGATGTGCTCGTAACCAAGACACAGGCTCCTGACCGGAATCGAACCTGGGACCCTTCAGTCCGCAGGCTCTCTCCACTGAGCCACACCGGTTTCGGCTCTGGACCAACTTTAAATCCCTGCTTGGAATAGCTCATCACTGCGCAATCTACCCTCCACTGTGTAATAGGACCGATCGTTGTACTCAGCAGAACAAACGTAGGAAAAACAATACCCTCCGGCAGAGACCATGAGATTGACCTCCGAGCTAAGCAATCCTGCTGTTCAGAAGACATTGTTTTTTGGGAACAGCACAAAATGCGACTGTCACAAAGCCACGTCCTGGGTCTGAGGCTTAGGGAGCAAGTCATGGCAGCTGCCACCTCCTGGCAGGACAAACGCTCTCCCTGAGGCTTCTGAGAGCAGAGGCCACTCGGCCCAGGCCCCAGCACGTCACCTTTCATCCGGCTCAGGAGGGACAGCGTGGTGTGCAGACAGCGGACGGACTGCGGCCTCTCCAGGATGTCCTTCTCCTTAGAGAGCCACACGCTCAGGAGCAGAGACTGAAAAAGACGGAGATCTTCTTCAGTCCAGACATTTCTCTTACGCTCTCACACTTGCACGCGTGACCCAGTGTTTCCGGGAAAGGAGTGGGGGCTGGGACATCACGTGACAAGGACAGAACGAGGCGCCCTGTCTGCCCAAGGGATCCCTAGTCCTCTGTGGAGAGAGATCTACCTCCCGCCTCCCCACCTCTTCCCCGGGGCTAGGCGCTCGCTGCCTTCCAGCGGGGGTGTCTGTGCGGGTGCCTGTCACAGTTAGTCCTCAGCTAATGTCATCACCAGGGCCTGCCACTTTAAGCAAAAGGATGTGTAACAAAACCCCAACTCTACTGTAGACTCTCACACACGTACAAGTTAAGTTCCCTTGGTACCACCAGTGGTTGGCAACCGCCGCTTTACACAGTGGTAAAAAAATAAAATAAAAAAAGATGGACAGATCTGATGGCGTGAGCAGAGAGAACAGCATCAGCGGCAGGGACGCTCACCAGCAGCAGCTGCGGGCTGAGTCCTGCAGCCTCCAGAGCACGGCACATGTCCTCCGTGGAGCTCTCTCCGTGCAGACACTTCCAGAAGAAGAAGCTGCCTAGTGGGCGGAACCAAGACACATTAACCAGTGACTGCTTCCCATTTGGACAAGCTTTCTAAATAGCACCCTAACCTAATCCTTACCCTGACCCTGACCCTGACCCTGACCCTGACCCTAACCCTAACCCTGACCCTAATCCTTACCCTTACCGTGACCCTAACCCTAACCCTAACCCTGTCCCTGACCCTAATCCTAACCCTAACCCTTACCCTTACCCTGACCCTGACACTAACCCTAACCCTGACCCTAATCCTAACCCTTACCCATACCCTTACCCTAACCCTGACCCTGACCCTAACCCTGACCCTAATCCTAACCCTTACCCTTACCCATACCCTGACCCTAACCCTGACCCTGACCCTAACCCTTACCCTAAACCTGACCCTGACCCTAACCCTTACCTTGACCCTAACCCTAACCCTAACCCTAACCCTGTCCCTGACCCTGACACTGACCCTAACCCTTACCCTAATCCTGACTCTGACCCTAACCCTAACCCTGACCCTGACCCCAACCCTTATCCTTACCTTGACCCTAACCCTAACCCTGTCCCTGACCACCCTGACCCTAACCCTAACCCTGACCCTGACCCTGACCCTGACCCCAACCCTTACCCTTACCTTGACCCTAACCCTAACCCTGTCCCTGACCGACGCTGACCCTAACCCTAACCCTGACCCTAACCCTACCCTAACCCTAACCCTGACCCTGCCCCTAACCCTACCCTAACCCTAACTCTGACCCTAACCCTGACCCTAACCCTACCCTAACCCTAACCCTGACCCTGACCCTGACCCTAACCCTAACCCTAACCCTGAACCCTCAGAGAGCAACATGAGAACGGGAAACTGCTGGTTCACTCTGCTTGGCTTCGGAAAGCAGAAAGCACACCCTTACACGTCTCACATCGTCTCTGAAGTATACTCAGTAATGCAACACAGCTCTATGACACAGCGCCTACATACCCAGAGCGTCTTATTTAAATGACAAAGTATTCAGTTATTTCAAAATGAACCGAGTCTCTAAGATGCTACAAGTTCGTCCGGGCTTCCTTCTAGAAGCGGGCGGGATTCCAACAGGGGTCTGTGATTCCCCCCACCCCGGGCCAGTGCCTCTCTCTGAGGTGAGTGCACCCACCTAGAGCCACGTGCTCCTCCTCACTCATCTTCTTGACGCTGATCACATCTTTCTCACACTCCAAATATTCCAGGAATGTTTTCACAGGCAGCACCCCGTCCTGGTCCTCAGAGAAGCGGACGGCAGCCCTGCTGTTCTCCTGCTTGTACTTGTTTAGCAGCGCCTGCAGCTTCCCGAGCTCCTTTTCGTCCAGCCTCAGCAGTACAGCCAAGTCCTTCAAGACAGGGAACAATTCTGAATAGACCACGCTGCTCTCTCCAAGTCTGCTGTGGGTGTCACCCCCGTCCCCTACAGTGAAATGCAACACCACTAGCCAAAGATGGATTTTTAATTAATGTGACTGCTTCGATGGACTCTGCTTAGCACCTTACTCTCAAATGACTCTGCGTGAAACTTGACCCACATTTACAAGGAGGTTATCTAAGTAAAGTAAACTAAAAGTACCATTTTTTAGAGCATTCTCCTGAGATTATAGTTGTTCAAAGTTTTCAGATTAAAAAAAAATATATTTTTATTAATTTTTTTTTTTTAATAGAAAGGGAGAGGAATAGCACTAGAAATATCGATGAGAGAGAAACATCGATCAGCTGCCTCCTGCACATTCCCCATTGGGGATGTGCCCTCAACCAAGGTAAATGCTCCCTTGACTGGAATTGAACCTGGGACCCTTCAGTACCCAGGCCGACACTCTATCCACTCTGCCAAACCAGTTAGGGCTAAAATGTTCAGATTTTAATGAATGTGTTACTGTATAATCAAAAAAAAAATTTTTTTTTTTAACAGGGTGTCAACTGCCACTCTTGTGATTCTGAGGAAACTAACGGACTATTAAATAAGAAACTGACTCCTCATATTCAGCAGCATAATTTAAGTGTATTACATATAAATTGTCCATGTGGCTCTCGGGGGTACAGAGATCGGAAGTCCCTGATACAGCCTGCCTTTTGAACCACTCTTTTAGACCAATGTGCAGGAACATCTCCTGATCCGACCGTTTTCTAAATTAGGGAAAAGCACACACGCGCATGTGCACGCACACACACACACACACACACACACACACTTTACAGAACATACTTTCGCCATAGCAAGCACAACTTGCTCCCCTCATGTGACATGAGTAAGGCTGTATCCTTAAACCAGAGCAGCTTTATCTATTTATTGACTAAGGCTGTTGTTTCTACAAACAAGCAGTAAACCACCAAGTGCTACCGAATGCATGCCAGCAGTCCATGCTATACTGAGTTTATAGACGAGCTTATGGCCCGTGTCCCAGAGACAGCAACGTGAATTAATTCAGCCCAGAACTTCAGTCCTATATGCTCAAAATTAGCCAGTCAGCCTAGAGGCCGAGTGTATGCTGTGTAAAGGATGGAAACAAGTCTACCGCGAATAAGGTTTTCATTCCTAAGAAGTGCTTTAGAAATAGAAAAAGAACAATATGACAACTGCTTTTTAAACATTTGTAATTGTTTTATCTTTGCATAGTATCAGGTGGCGATGCATTCTGAGAGCTTAGCAGAGCCATCTATAAAACTTCCTTCGGCAAGGCGTGAGACAGTTAGCTGAGATCTCATGAAAACATGAGCCACTGGAGAATCTGAAATGCCTAGGCAGTCCTGTGGACATAACTCAATCTATCAATACCTGAACTTTCCTGTTGCTTGAAACAATTTTACGTGATTGATGACGTAGGCAGCAAAACAAAAGATCCTGGAAAATGGCTTTGTCATGTGCAATGGTAGCTACAGAATACTATGAATATATTACTGCTCAAATGCTTTGTAAAATCCATCTATAATCCCAAAGATAAAAAAGATGCTAGAATGTGGAGGTTGTTTCCATTACAGGGAGAAAATCTTCTCTCATTTTTATGTTTAAGAAATTGTTATTCACGCCCTAACCAGCTTGGCTTAGTGGGTAGAGCGTCAGCCTGCCGTCTCAAGGGTCCCAGGTTCAATTCCAGCCAAGGGCACATGCCTGGATTGCGGGCTCGATTCCCACTGAGCTCAATCCCCAGTAGGGGGCGTGCAGGAGGCAGCCAATCAATGATTCTCTCTCACCATTGATGTTTCTATCTCTCTCTCCCTCTCCCTTCCTCTCTGAAATCAATAAAAAATATATATTTAAAAAAAGAAACTGTTATTCGTGTACACATGTTTAAAGTACATTTCAGATGCACCAGATAGTTTTCTTAAAGGAACTACCAGTGACATGACATCAGTAAAACCAGAGAGCTGGCCACGGCCACACAGAAACTGGAGGGGCAGAGGGGACACACTTTTCTCGAGTCCCCATTGAAGAGGCTTCACTTCTCTGTATGGAAACTAAGAGTTTTATACACATGCCTCAGAAATGAATTATACTGCACTGCAATAAATAAAGATTACCAGGTGGTGTCCCTTTGGTGTTATGGAATAAAAGCATAGAACATTTACTATAATTATCGCAAACACTTGGATATACAATAGAATCTCTTAAACACACATTTCTTTATGTGTGCACGGCAGATGAGCTGCAGGAGTTTGCTGACAACACAGAAAATGTGGTCTCTGTTTGGCAGAATCATTTTGCTACTTCAGTAATATGACACTATTTTTTCTTTTTGTCCAGAAGTTGTATTATACGTAGTAATCTTAAAAAATGAGCTCAGCCCTGGCCGGATGTTCTGTTGGTTAGAGCATTGTTCCGTACACCAAAAAATGAGTTCAGATCCTGGCTGGTTTGCTCAGTGGCTAGAGTGTTGGCCCATGGACTGAAAGATCTCAGCTTTCATTCCCAGTCAAGGACACATACCTGGGTTGCAGGCTCAATTTCCAGCCCTGGTAGGGGCAAGTATAGGAGGCAACCAATCGATGTCTGTCACATCGATATTTCTCTCTCTCTCTCCCTCTTTTTCTGCCTTTCTACTCTTTCTAGAAAGCAAAGGAAAAAACATCCTCAAGTGAGGATTTAAAAAAAAAAAAAATTTATTCAGAAAAATCAGAAGCTTCTAGGGTAGTGTCAATGAATTAACAAAAAAGTTTCATTTTCTGGCATAAATAATACAATTTTAGCAGCAAGACACCGAGAACCAGCAGGGAGAGGGTCTTGTGAAGAAAATACACCTGTATGCTTTATAAAAATATTCCATTTTTTTTCACTCCTTTACTACCAATTTGAAAAACTGAAAATAATCGCGGAGACGATTCTGTATAGTGGGAATGGGGGTACTCACGTTATCAGAGAAGGACGTGTCTGAAGGAGAACCCAGGGCATTTAACTGGCTCACAGACTCATAAAGATGGAGTAGCTTCAGCTTACTGGCACAGAACTGGAGCAGCACTTCGTCAACAGACTCCGCCTCTAAAAGGCAACGAGCATTAAAGAGACGTTTCACAGATTCATAAGGGGCCTTTCTTCATTACGTCTCTTATTATTACAAAACCCCCTGCTCTCGTTTATAAAATACTGGGAAGATTATGCTATAGAAGATTAATAAGGCAAAAAAAAATAATAACTTTTCTATCATGGCCAAAATATTTAAATGTTTAAATGAAATAAGGCCCTCTAATAGTAAAAAAGAAAAAAAGAAAGGAGAAATATCTTGGTCTAATAGATAAATGATCTGGAAACAGCTTTGAAAATGTCCTCGCTCAGCTCATGACTCATCAGCTGCCTATTTGTCTTACACACTGAAGATAACACCATTAAAGCTGCTATTGTGGTGGTCACAGATATTACGATTCAACCAGAAACTGTGGATTGTGACGGATGGATCCTCAAGAAAGGTTGGCAAAGAGACCAAAAGTAGAATTCCTATCCATTAGGGTTTTTTCCCAAGATTAAGAAAGCTCAGATGAAGAGCAACTCATTCAAAGAACAGGGAATAAAAAAGTCCCCAAGTGCTAAAGGTATGAAATGTTTCCTTTTATCTTATCTATTTTATTCCCACCTTAAAGCAATAGGAAAGCATCGTGGGTAGCTTTCTATTTCTACGACCAGTTCTAGAATGAAGTGAGACCATAATCACCAACCAGTAAAATCCGATTACCTTGACTTTTCAAAGTGTCCAGGAGAGTTTGGGTGACATTTCTAAGGCAGGAAAATGGTAGACGTTCATTTGCCAAAATGCTTTCCAAAGCCTAGAAGAAAGATAGCAATCCAAGTCATCGGAAGGCAATTATTTGTTTATATTTGATGTTGATTTCATTACACCACATTTCAAAGGGAAGTCATATTTAAGCTGCTATATATATATATATATATATATATATATATATATATACACACACACACACACACACACACACACACACACACACCTGTGAGTGAAGGGTGCATTATAAGTAATATGTAATCAATTTCTTGTCATGCTAAATATGATAGGACAAAAAGTTCAGATGAAAATGAAATAACCAAAAGTAACTGGTGTTTAACAGAATAGCCAGGACCAATTAGAAAGAGAGTTAAGCTACTCATTATAAGATGAGTTTGAATAAGTCTATGTTATGTAAATATCAATGAAAAGTAAAGGCTGTTGTCAGTAACAAAAGCTGACAACTTAATTACTGCATATGGGCGAGGCTGACTGAATCTAGACCAATCTAGATATATAAGGTGTCCCCAAAAATGTATACACACTTTGAATGATTATAAAGTTGGTGTTTACTAACATACAGTTCATTTTCAAAACTTAAAAGAACCTACGGAAATGAATAATTTTTTTTGTCAAGGCGTTTTCACATGGATGACCCTTCTAGTCCAGCCTCTGCTGATAATGTGAAGCAATGGAATGTCAAACATCAAAAATCATCTCATTGAGTATTTGTGGGCCCTCAATTTGTCGGCTGTTGATGGTTTTTGTACCATAAACTTTATCTTTTATGTATCCTCTTTAAAAAGTCTAGAGGATAAATTTTTCTTTGTTCAAAGCTTAGTCTGGCTTCACCTATGATTTCAAATCAGTCAAAACTGAAAAGGAGTGAAAACTAAGTGAGTTATCAGCTGTTAAAGTGTGTATACATGTTTTTGGGATACTATATATATATATATATATATACTCCCCCACCACACTGCACCTATCCATTCTCCTGGTAGAAATTTAAAAGCCTTTATTACCTGTTCTCACATCTCTCTTCATGCCTAAAGAGGCAGCCATCAGAATCCCCAATGGGTTGGACACAGCAGTTACAGCTCATACCATCATTTCATATTAGCACAGTAAACTGGATTGTTATTGATGGGGTGAGTGTAGAAGGTTAGGCTGAGAAGCTGGTGTGAGACAAACACCAGCTGTGTGTTGGGGGAGAAACGGGCTTAGCAGGTGGCTCGAGAGGCTGGCCTGGCCCATGATGACACAGCTGCCAGGAGGCCATAAAGGAAGTGACCACAAGTGGCAAATACCCCGGAGATGCCATCTGCATCTGCTCTGTCCACTCTGACACAAGTCGGCAGCTGGCTTGCTTTCTTCTCTGCTATTCAGTCTTCCCAAGTCAAAACTAGTTTCTTTCCTCCCACACTTGCCTGTGTGGTAGGATTACTGACTTTTTCAAAAAAGAAAGGAAAAGCCGGGACCGGTTTGGCTCAATGGATAGAGCGTCGACTTGGGGACTGAAGGGCCCCAGGTTCGATTCCGGTCAAGGGCATGTACCTTGGTTGCGGGCATATCCCCAGTAGGGGGTGTGCAAGAGGCAGCTGATCGATGACTCTCTCTCATCGATGTTTCTAACTTTCTATCCCTCTCCCTTCCTCTCTGTGAAAAAATTAATAAAATTTAAATAAAATTAAAAAAAAAAAGAAAGGAAAAAAGGGATAGCAGCAACTGTCATGTGGGGAATATTAAAAAAGGATGAGCATGAATAAGAACACAAGAGGAAGCCTGGCCTTTCGTGCTTGGAGGGGAACGAAGGAAATAAAGATTTTCTCCGGAGGGAACTGGAATAGCTATTCAGCAGGAAACTTCACACATACACTCACCTGCTTTTTGGTTGCAGGGTACTTTATGTCGAGAATTAATTCCTTTATTTCTGTTTCAACCGAATCTAGAAAGAGAAAATTTAGGCAAAGTAAAATTCCCTCTTTTATTGCGGGCACATTTTATTCCGAAAGAAAAAGGCACCCGTGTGAACTGCCCGTCTGCTTAGGGGTTCCTGGGTCTCTGGGTTCCTGTCACAGATGTGAACACACCCTGAGAGGGCGACCCACTGGAAAGCACAGTGAGCAGCGCCTCCCCTCCCTCTGAAGAGGAGCCGTCACAGCTCATGAAGGCGACCCAGTGTGTGACTGTCCCATGTAGAACAGGGGTGGGGAGTCGTTTTCCTGCCAAGGGCCACATGGGTATTTATAACATCATTCGTGGGCCACACAAAATTATCAACTGAAAAATCAGCCATATTTGGTCAAACATTTAATGAACTCACCTCTAATGCATTGACAGGGCCAGACCAGAGGATTTTGCAGGCCTTATACGACCTATGGGCCGCACGTTGCCCCACCCGACTTGGAGAATAATATTAATTGAAGGAATAACAGAGTATGCTTTAGTATTTTTACTACAAAACACCCACCGAGACTGGGAGATTTCGCTTTCAGCAAGGCCGCTAATTTCTTCATTAAGTGCATGTCCTTGGCCCGTTCGCTCTTCTTGTCGCTGAAACAGTGAACACAATGCGTTCTTACAGAGGTGACCTTGCTTCCTTCTAATTCTGACCCTCCCATTGCGCCCTGCCCTTTACCCTCTTCCTACTTAGCACACCGCGGACCAGCCGCTTCATTGCTAGCTTTACCCAGTGGCCAGGTAAGTCTCTATTGAACAAGTACAAAAAAAACGTTTTACATAAATGTTCAAGGCATGCTTTAAAATTAAATACCCACTGCATTTTGAAGTTATTTATTACATCTTCTTATAAGCTACTATCTTTTTAAAGTGTGATGCTTTGTAAAACACGGTGTAACATGAAGCGAGAATTCTCATGATCTGTCTGCAACGTGTTAAGTTTAAAGATATCGGTCTCATAAGGAAAAAAAAAAACACACAGGAAAATAATAACTGCCAAATAGTGCCGAGGCCGGTTTGGCTCAGTGGATAGAGCGTCGGCTTGGGGACTGAAGGGACCCGGGTTTGATTCCGGTCAAGGGCATGGACCTTGGTTGCGGGCATATCCCCAGTCGGGGGTGTGCAGGAGGCAGCTGATCGATGACTCTCTCTCATCGATGTTTCCAGCTCTCTATCTCTCTCCCTTCTTCTCTGTACAAAATCAATAAAATATATTTTTTTTAAAAAATAACTGCCCAACAGCTAGCAGAGGTGGGAGGGATGAGTGAGAGACCCCCGAGCAGCCTCACCTCAGCGCCAGGTGGAAAGGAACAGTCACCGTTTTCACGCCCGCAGACACGGGATCCACGAGGCAGATCTGGTAGGTCTGTGGCTGCCAGCTCTGACTGGTGACATTATTTAAGCCCATTATTTTATAGCCAGGATACAGGAGCCTGGAGATACAAAGAAAACACACGCCAAGATGGTGACCACGTCGGAGAAAGGAATGCCACGAGGGGCTTGCTTCTAGTACAGCCTGGGACCCCAACATTATCCGCAATTCAGAGTCACCGATGAGGCAAATAATACAAATGGATACCAAAACGGAAGTGAAGTGGGACTCGATTGGCGGAGGTCTGCCTGTTAAAAATGTGCTAGAACCGGCCAGGGTGGCTCACTGGTTGATGCTCAACCAATGAGCCAAAAGGTTGTTGGTTTGATTCCAGGTCAGGGCACAGGCCAGAGGTGCAGACTCGATCCCCAGTAGGGGGAATGCAGGAGGCAGCCAATAGACGCTTCCCAATGATATCTCCATCTCTCTATCCCTCCATCTTCCTCTCTCTCTAAAAATCAATACAAACATATGCTAGAAAACGTGCTAGAAAAGGAAATGAGCCGAAACCGGTTTGGCTCAGTGGTAGAGCCTCAGCCTGCAGACTGGAAGGTCCCAGGTTCGATTCCGGTCAAGGGCATGTACCTTGGTTGCGGGCGCATCCCCAGTGGGGGGTGTGCAAGAGGCAGCTGATGGATGATTCTCTCTCATCGGTGTTTCTGACTCTCTGTCCCTCTCTCTTCCTCTCTGTAAAAAAATCAATAAAATATATTTAATAAAAAAAAAAAAAAAAGAAAGAAAGAAAGAAAGAAAAGGAAATGAGCACTGGCCCGTGTTGCAATGGCAAACAAAGCAGCTGCCACATCTGACGTGTGACGGCATCTTCCCTCCGGAGCCTGCACAGCGTACAGAAGGGACGGAACTGAAGGCAGCACAGAAGTCAACTCCTTCAGCCGCACATCACGCCTTTTCGAGAAGATTCCTTTGTTAGCACATACTTGCAGGAAGAAGTGCAGTGCTCACCTGCAGTGCTTTCCCACGTTGAAAGCGCCCACTCTGGGTCCCTGCTGCGTGCTCCACACCTCCAGGATGCCCCTCCTAGGCGCGTAGATCACCAGGAACTGAGCCACTCGGCTGGGGCCCTGGGGACTCCCGAAGGGGGAGGAGTCCCCCTTTTCTGGGACTCTTTCGTGGAGGTCCTCTACCACCTGGACCCAGCCAATCTGCGCGTCCCGATACCCTGGGGACGGGAGAGAGGGATGCTAACGGGTAAATTAAGGTCAGTTTACCACTAGCCTTCTCAAGCACTATGGGATTTTTTTGGGGGCGGGGGTGGGGAAGGAATTGAAGAAACGCTATAAAACTTGGTTATTTCTAATTATGAAACAGCTTAAACAGAAACTATTAATAGTTATAATAAATACAGAATCAACCATGAAGTCGTATTAAATCTTATATTTTGCTCAGTTTGCTTCAGATCGCTCTTGTTTCTTTAAGAAGAAAACGGGTGTCATTGAAGCCTCGTGAGCTTCCTATCTGATTCCCTCTTTTCCTCCCTTTCAAACACTCTTGACTCAAACACGGCCTCATGAAGTGGAATAAATGTAGCAGAGGCAAAAAAAAAAACTGAGTTCAGGAATTGACCATGACAGTGAGGATTGAGAAGTACATGAAAAAAAAAATAGGTAGAACAGGCTTATGAGTTCATCAAACTTAAAGACACGTCAATTGGATTTCTGGAACAAGTTCCGATCTGAGTTCATGTTTTTTTTTTTTAAAAAAAAAAAAAGCATAAAGGATTAAACAGTGTTATCAACCAGAAGCTAAAGAATGATGACGCTGCTCAACTATTGGGGTAAAAAACAAATCGAGCTTTTTTTTTTTTCTCCCTGGATTTTTGCAAGGAAGTACCTTTCCACATGCGTATTGCAATTCCTCTGGCTACATCCAATAAGATAACTCTGCCAAAATCATCCGTTACTGCTGCCAGCGTGTTGCAGGGAGACAGACAGATGCTCTCACCGTGGCGTCTAGAATCTGGAAGCCCAAATCTGATATTTAAAAGAAAACAAAAAAGCTCAAATCACATTCCAATCTAGAAATATATACCACGATAATGAGATATGTCAAGGACATAGGCTGAATCTATTTTTACATAAAGAAATACGAACCTTGCATGGACTAATAATTACCCACATATGACAGTTGGCACTGTAAGAAGTTTCCTCCATTATAAAATAAAAATTTATAAGTTTTCTATATAAATACCCACAACCTTGTTTTTCAGAGAACATCAGGTACATCAGAACGAGCTCTCCTGGATTAAGCGACATGTCACAGAAAACAATACCCTCACAACCAGCTCACTTTTAGAAAACTTGGCTCCGACACAGGCGTTTGCTGTCTAATTTAAGTTCTTATCCCTAACCTGCTTTCTCTTTGCTAGATATCCCATCTTGCTGATACCAATGTTAATTAGCTTGAAGGGAAAATTTCCCTTCTAAATATTTCTCTTTAAGCTGCTCTTGGTCTATAACCAATCGTACCAGAGCTGTAAGGAAAAAAAAAAAAAAAACCCTAGGAGATAAGCTTCAATAAGTTATGATAATATAATTTAAAAAATAAATTTTAAATAAAATCTAGCAAAAATCACCTTTTCTCCTCCCCAAACCTGATAGCACTAAGGATAGAGGGAAGCTAAGAGCCAAAGCCGGCATTCTGAAGACGGCCTGAATGCAGGGCGGCTCCTGTTTTCATTTTTATTTTTTTTTAAGAAATGACTAAGTTTTATAAAATATAGTTTTACAGCTTACTGACAAATCAAACTATTTTTAACGAGATCATCAGCTATCACAAACTTGATGTTCCTGCGACTCAGAAGCTAAGTTTATAGGTGTCTGTAAAACAACCACACGCACACACACATACACAAATACATACTGAGCCCCTGTGATGTCACAGGGAGACAGCAGTGAATGAAAATGGCAAGAACCGCTGTCCTCATTTTACCTTCTACTGGAAAAATCATCCCACACCAGTGACTGTTAGCGGCTCCCAAGACTCATGGGATTAACGGATCAGCTGAGCTCATACAAAGACCCTAAATCCCACAGGTTGTTTCCAAAAATGACCACAATTTGAGAAGAGGATGGCCGACTTGCCTTACAGCTAACGGGGTGGCTGGTTCCACCTTCGGCTTCTGCTTTTGGACAGCTTCTTCCTCGTGCCTACTTTTCCAACCAAGCCAACCGCTGGAAAGAGAGAGCATGAAGATAAAACCAGGGCTCGCCGAGTGTCCAAGTACAGACTGTCACATCAGAAGCCCAAACCAAGCTTGACAAAGTAGATGCGGCTCAAGTTAATTGTTATGCGATTACCTGGCAGCATTAAACAGAGCAGAAGTGAGTTTGCTGGCAACGGCGAGGGCAACGTGAGAGAGCAACGGCTGTGTGCTTCCCTGGAAGACAGAACATGTGCCAGCTGACCAAGGAACAGAATACACTTTCTTTTTTATATATATATATTTTATTGATTTTTTACAGAGAGGAAGAGAGAGAAATAGAGAGTTAGAATCATCGATGGGAGAGAAACATCGATCGGCTGCCTCCTGCACACCCCCTACCGGGGATGTGCCAGCAACCAAGGTACATGCCCTTGACCGGAATCGAACCCGGGACGCTTCCATCCACAGGCCGACGCTCTATCCACTGAGCCAAACCGGTTTCGGCCAGAATACACTTTCTAAACCTTTCTAAAGGAGGCCTGCTATAACGTTTGAAAAAGCTGTAAAGCCTGGATAGCTCCTTGAGGGGAGTATGATAGTAATTTTTTTCTCAGTATCATCGTAGTGTTACCTGTGCAGTGTCAAGGTCAAAGCCGCTGGCATTTTAGCTTTAGGAGCTCCCTCTTTAAATTGTAACTGAGTTGTAATTTTTAAACTAGGATATGAAGATGGCATTACCGTAGCAGGACTGTGGACTTCCCAACCATACACAACTGGCTCTTTGCCCTCTTTAAAAAATACATGCCTACATATTTTACTAAAGTAAAAAGATGGGTTAGGCAATTCTGAGAAGGCTGCTTTCCATGAGAGAAGAACGAGCTGCCAAATCTAACTGTCCCCCATTTTAAGGAGCCATTTTCACCACATGGATGACGCCAGCGGGCAGCCAGTTCTGTCCTGACAATCCTCACTGATGCAAACCCGCGGGGGCTGGTCTGCAACCCGAGCTTCTGACCACCCCACAGTAACTCGGTGTCCATGAACATGGGCCATCAGAAACCAAGTTCAATTGTTTCACACTGACTTCAGTGCCTTCCAGTTAATGTAAAGAATTCATGACAAAGCGAGCTGAGATTCATATGAGCTTAGACTGAAACTCAGCAACAACGTACACTGCTTAACCTTGGTAAGGCTCAGGGACCATATCCATGTTGAGGCCAGTTGAAAACTTAGTTCTGCAGCCTTCCCCATGATCGGGGGGGGGGGGGGGGGGGGCAGCTCTTACCTCTAGAGCATAGAAGAAGCCAGTGAACGGGTTGGACCCCACAGTGATATACTGAGACATGGCAGGCGGGCTGTTCTTAATGGCCGCATTGAATCCACCGATATTGGAGGCAGTTTTCATCTGATCGAAAGGGGACAGCGTCATAATACCTAGTGGTAAAGCGACAACAAGGCATGACCTGAGCGTGCTGAGAGGACACTGTCAGTGAAGGCCATTGAGTGTTTACATCAATTCCATTCTAAGACACTAACATCTCAACTTAACAGATAAAAGTCATTTTTGGAAGCTACAAAACTGATACAGTAATGTACTTGTAGGGTTAAAATGATACTCCTAAGTCCTCTAAGCTATGAAACATTCCATCTTCTCTTCGCTGCTCCCTCTCCCAGCGCCTCTTCCTGGAGCCGGCTCCTCCTCACCCTCATGTCTCAGTCTGAACGCCACTTCCCTGGACAGGCCTTTCCTCACAGGTCCCCCTGGGGGTACCCTCTTTTAAGATGTCACCTGTCTTCTATTAGGACTCTGATAAAAATGCTTATTTGGCAAAATTAATGTGAAAGCCTCTTTATAATATGTTGATAAGGGTTATAATAGTTGGTATGAATAATCCTAGTTTTGAAAGCCTGTCTACATAACATGATTATGGTACACATACAACTCTGAATGAATGTTTACCAAAATGCCAATGATAAGTATTTCTAGATGGTAGAATGTAAGAGGATATTTTTTCCTTTTAACATATTTATGTATGACTTAATTTTTTAAAAAAATATATATTTTATTGATTTTTCTCAGAGGGGAAGGGAGAGGGATAGAGAGCCAGAAACATCGACCAGCTGCCTCCTGCACGCCCCCTGCCGGGGATATGCCCGCACCAATGTACATGTCCTTGACCGGAATGGAACCTGGGACCTTCCAGTCCCCAGACCAACTCTCCATCCACTGAGCCAAACCAGTTTGGCAGCACTTTTTTTTTTTTTTTTTTAATATGTCAGTAGTGGAACGATCCACCCTTTTTACTCGCAAAGTGTGAACAGAAAGCTACTATATTTCTGTAGGACACTTACAAAGAGTTTTCTTCACCTTAAGAAGAAACTGAATAAAGTAGATGTCCACTTTATGACTTAATTTTTAACAAGCAAATATTACATTGATAAACAGAAAAAAAAATATTAAAATAGCATTTTCTTCAACTCCACCCCATTTCTACCACCTTAATTCAGGAGCCCATTACTTCTTCCCATGATCATTACAGCTTCCCTATTGTACTCATTTTCTCGTCTGACCCTTACAATCGCAACCTCTGAACGCCCACCGACGTGGCTGTCCTAACAGGCTGACACAGTGTCGTGCTCTTGCTCACAGTTCCTCAGTGGCTCCCAGTGTGACTGTAGGCAAGCTCCAAGTGCCTCTTGCATAGCACACCGGACCCTGCATAGCACAACCTGACTCCTGTTTCTATACTTGGCCTCGTTCTTGCCAGTTCTCCTGGGCACCCACTGCTTTTCCAGGAGACAATGCACTTCCACCCTCATGCCTACACGCAAGAATGCCTTCTCTGTGTCTGTTCTCTTGGTCAAGTCCTTCTTCTTCCAGGACCAGATTAAAGTCCACTCCATCCCCCACTCCCTCAGTGCTGGGTTCTCTCCCTGTTACACTGCAGCAGTCCACTGTCCACTCCAATGAATGTTAGGCTGTGGTCCTGTTCCATGGGTTTCTTCCCACTACACTCACACTTCCTGGCAGCAGCGACCATGTCTTCCCGACTCTATTCCCAATGCCCAGCACGGTGAGCCTTCAAATACTGGTTTCAAGGAGAAATCTGCTTTTCTCTATATTCTGCTGGCTTAACGGTTACATTTTTAAAACACTAATCTATAGGGAAATTATATGGATTAAATTTGTCTGCAGAAAAATCAAATCAAATTGTGACAATGCTGCACAGTCCCGCCACTGAGGGTAAAACCCTAAGTCTGAACCAACTATAAAAAGTCTGAACCAAGAATAAACCTACAGTTTGAATCAATGAGATCCTGCAATCCAAAGGAATAAAAAGTAAATTTTGAACTGAACTAGTAATGCTTACCAACACTAGCATGATCAACGATAGTGTCAACATCTTGCAGACCCCATTTCTTATAAGCTAATGGTGGTGGCTGGATGTTCTCATTGCCTGAAGCTGCAGCTGTCAAAGACAAAAGTTAGACAAACCAAACTTCACTCTGAGGAGTACAATGAAGTTTTATATTTTTAAAAAATCATAAAAAATGTAATAACATTTTATGTTTTTATTGATTTCAGAGAAAGGAAGGTAAAAGGAGAGAGGGGTAGAAGCATCAATGATAAGAGAAAATTACTGACCAGATGTCTCCTGCACGCCCCCTACTGGGGATCAAGCCTGTAACCTGGACATGTGCCCTGACTGGGAATCAAACTGTGGCCTGGTTCATAGATCGACACTCAACCATTGAGTCATACCAGCCGAGCTATAGTGACTATTTTAAGTGTCCCCAAGACAGTAGAAGTTTATAGTGGGCTAAATTTCAAAAATTATGAAATAGCTATAAAAATTCAACTGAATTCTGACGTAGTAGGAAAGTGTGTCTATTAGAGATGCACATTTTGCTGAATCCATGAACAAGCCTGTTGTTCCTGTGTTGGTCACACTCACCTCTGGCAACTGATAGGTTAAATAGGTTAAATGAAATTAGACAAACATCACCACAAGTTAGCTATTTCTTGCCAAAAATTACCTTTTGCTACCTGATTTCGACAAGCACGAAGAGACTGAAAAAGGCTAAACCCATCAATAGTCACAATGGCAGCAGGATATAAGATACTCAGCTCTTCATTCTACCAAAGAAAGAAGAAAATAATAAATCATCATTGCCAAATATATGTTTCCATTTTCCTATTAGAGCTGAATGTCATGACTAATGTAAAGTAAAAAATACTATGACAACAACTATCAACCACCTACACAAAAAACAATAAGAACAACAACAAACAACACAAGCAGAGGAAAAGTAAAAATTAATGGGAAATTAATTTCAGGATGTTTTTGGCCAAGAAATTAAGATACTTCTCAAATATTATACAAACTTTTGTTCATGATGAATAATGCTTTCAGGATACAAGGTGAGATTAACAAAAAAAGGTATACGTTTTATAAAAATAAAATAATCATTGGGCAAATACAAACATTATATAAAAGTAGAAAGAAAAAAGGAAAACTCACATGAAATCCATGACAGGTCTCAGTACATATCCTCACATATAATCATACACTTTTGTGTGAGAATATACCACATATATTATCCCATAACATGTTTTAATTATTCAGTAATATGTCAATGACTTTCCATTTTGCTAAGTGAACAAATAGTGTTTCATTGTGGCTATACAGCAATTAACTAGGCATTGCTTTACATTACTAATTAATTCTTTCTTAGAATTAATGGGTATTAATTTAGTCTTTCTTATAAGATTAATTTCTTCTATTGCTCCAGTCCTTATAGCCTTCGTCTATGATGCTAGTGAAGTCCCCACAGGCATATGATATATACACCTGTTAACTTCAAATCTTTTGGAAGAAGGGTGTTACAAAGAAGGATAGAATATATGGGATGTCCCCCAAAATTATATACATAGTTTGAATAATTATTAATTCCAATGGGTTTAATCTGAAAAGAAAGAAACGTCAATTGGGCTATCAGGAAAAGGTGTGTGTATACATTTTTGGGGGACACCTTGCACATATATTTTGACACCTAAACCCCGATTAAAACTATATAAAGTTATATAACATCACACTTTTGTTTTAAGTCACCATTAAATTCTAAAAATAAGAAACCTTTCTTGGCTTCTGACTGAAGTCTTTTATTTTACTGCAGAACAGACACGCAAACCTTCATTAAGTAAGTAAAAGCACGACTGGTATTCTCTTGGCTCAGCTGGAAATTGGTTGCACCTCAAGAATGTGACAGTACAGGTAACTATGCCACCAGACAAAGATAGCTTTACCTCCCACCTGATGCAGAGGGGAAGACACGACTTCGGGTAACGCCACTGGTACTTGAATGCAAACCCTCACATACCTGCTCGGTCACGCCCGGATGCCGTGGGATCTCGTAGGTCCTGCATTTGAGCTGCAGCACGGGGTCCTCGTTCAGAAGCTGTGCGAGCAGCAGCACGCCGTTCTAGGAGGAAGCACAGAGGAGGGCCTGGCTCGATGTCTCACCAACATGCCTGAGCAGGTGCGGCCAGGCAGGGAGCACTACGTCCCCAGCAAGTCCTCCACGGACTCCAGGCCCTCTCTTCTCAGAAGAACACAGCTTCTCTTTTGTATGGCTCTTTCTAGAACTTTCTACCACTGCTTCTCCCATGCCCAGCCTCCACCCCCATAAAGCATCAACTATGCGTCCCCAACCGGCAGGAATGAATCACAAATGAATAGTGGTGCCCAGCTGGGTGTCCCAGTCACTGCCATTTCCAACCAGTGGGCCCGGGGCTCACCTCCGTGTAGAAGCGCACGGAGCCCGAAGTGAAGCCCAGCACGATGCAGGTCCAGTCAGGGCGGCCCGTGGAACTCCTGCCACAAAGGAGAGTCATGACCGGAATGGCCCAGCAGTCACAGCAAAGCACACAAGCCCCTCCTGTCCGTCCTTACCTCTTCTGGCTGGCCAGGGGGATGCACAGGGCGCTGGTGACATGCTCCCTGAGAACAAAGACAACAGCGTGAGCTTATCTCACGGATGAACTGCTTTTACCTCTCTCTAATGTGACATTCAAGGGCTGAGCTCTGCGGACCCGTCTGATTCAGCGTGTCAGTAAAACTCAGTAAGCACTGGCTGGTTTGGATCAGTGGATAGAGTAATGGCCTTCGGACTGAAGGGTCCCAGGTTCAATTCTAGCCAAGGGCACGTGCCCAGGTTGTGGGCTCAGTCCCCCAGTGTGGGGCGTGCAGGAGGCAGCCGATCAATAATTCTCTGCCATCACTGATGCTTCTATGTCTCTCTCCCCTCTCCCTTCCTATCTGAAATCAATAAAAACAAATTTAAAACTAACAAACTGCACTGTAAGTAGGATCATAGGATCCATTCCCACGAAAGGCAATGCCACATTCACTTGAGGTTAATTTAAAAGCAGCATTTTTCATTCTGTATTGTCATGCAAAGCATGAAAGTAAAGAAAGCAAAACCTGTCGGCACACTGATTATGTACACAGAACTGAGACCGTTATCAAAGCTCGCCAGGCTGTCGCCACAGTCCACTCCCCTCTCCTTTCAGATTTTGCAGAAACTGGCCCTGATAACCTATCTCTAAGCACAGGGTAGGGTGGATGGTCCCTAACGGTTCTTTTCTCTGACATGTAGGCTTGGAAAATTTGTCAGGAGCTCAGAGATAAAACCTCAAAGTTAAAATAACTTCTTGACTGACTATTATTTAACCAGTCAAACCTCAGGACCGTAAGGAGAAACTAGATTCCCATAAACCAGGGAATCACTGAACAAAATCAATCTTTTTGCTTGTTGTCTTTAAAGGAATTCAACCATTATGTTCGCTTTGCATTCGGGACAGAAATGACTTAAGGAGAAATATTTTTTTTTCTTTTTTTTAATATATTTTATTGATTTTTTACAGAGAGGAAGAGAGAGTAGGGTAGTTAGAAACATCGATGAGAGAGAATCATCCATCAGCTGCTTCTTGCACACCCCCTACTGGGGATGTGCCCGCAACCAAGGTATATGCCCTTCATCGGAATCGAACCCGGGATCTTTCAGTCCCCAAGCCGACGCTCTATCCACTGAGCCAAACTGGTTTCGGCAATATTTTCATTTTTTGATAAGACTATCTACAATGTGCAGGCATGTGCTATGGGCTTCCACTTGGCTTTCTTTTATCTGAATTCAAAGTCTACAAAATCGTATTCATTCTGATCAGAGAGCTTTGGGTGATAAAAATGTAATTCGAAACAGTTTTGGCTCCAGGTTGAGGCTACAGCTCCATCATGTAACCATGTTAGAGATCTGGTTATATGACGCTTACTGGGTCAGCAGGAACCCTTGAATTCACCAACTTGCTTTTTGGAAGTATTAATATTTGTGAGTTCTAAGAATTAATGTAGCCCTGGGGTGGTAAACACAAAAAACAATGTAGAGATGACATGTTATAGAAGTGAACACTTGAAACCTGTATAACTTTATTAGCCAATGTCACCCCAATAATTCAATAAAAATCAAAACAGAAATGAAAATGAAAAAAAAAAAAAGAATTACTGTAGCACTGTCCCCCTTAAGTACAAATCCAAAGCCAGCAAAGCAGAGAAGACAATTATTGCCCTTGATTTTCTGGCTGAATAAAATTAGCACTGGAAGATGGTGGAAAAGACAAAATGTAGAAAAGATGTTAAGAAAAAAATTCTCTCTGACCTCTTCTTGACATCCTCTCCAAACAGTTGTGGATGTTTTTAATTAATCACATGATGAGTCAAATTAAAACTTGCTAACTGAGTCATGCTCTATCACCTCAAAGTTGAAATGAATGTACACTTTCCAAAAGATGAAATTTCTTAATAGATGAGCTTACAATTCAAACAATTTCATATACACATTTAACACACACAGAGGCAAAAAATTAATCGGTACCTACCCTTCTTCGACATTTAAAGAGCCACTCCAACCAACAGCAAATTGCATTTCTTCCTTTCCTTTATCACCATATTTCCATTTTGCTGAAAAAATTAAGTTATCATATAAAATCGCTGTGATATACTAAAACAATAATTTATAAATTTCACTCTTTCCCTTTAGAAGGATGAGTACAAAATTTAATAGTTCTGTATTAACAGATTTGGGTCATAAATATAAGAAAATGTCCAAAAATTTTAATAAGGTATTTATAAAACTCTACCCTTCGTCTCTCCTTCCTCCAATTAAATCCATATAATAAAGTTATTAATTCATATATACCCCCCAACCTATTTTATGTATAAAACTACGTTTATCTTTAGATGAAAAAAAAATTCCTATTAGATTTATGCTACTTACTGGAGGGTAAATCTGCTTTATAAGGTCATCCCACAGCCATTCAATATAGGCTCTTATTTTGATCAGTGAGATTTTCCTATGCTCTGTATACCCAAACCATATTTTTTTTCCCTTATATTTAATAATTTTTTTACATAGAGGAAGGGAAAGGAATAGAGAGTTAGAAACATTGATGAGAGAGAAACATCGATCAGCCACCTCCTGCACATCTCCCACTGGGGATGTGCTTACAACCAAGGTACATGCTCTTGACCGGAATCGAACCTGGGACCCTTCAGTCCGCAGGCTGACGCTCTATTCACTAAGCCAAACCGGCTAGGGCCCAAACCATAATTTTAACCTTCAGCAAACATCATGAGCTGAAAACTTATGTCCCAAATAGGAAATTGCAGTACTGTGAGTTTTTAATTCTAGTTGACAATCTCCTTGCTCTTGTTATTACTGAAAAGGGTCAGTGGCCCTCTGAGCTCTGGCTGCCCTTGCAAAGACTGGGCAATGCCCAGCAATGTCTCCAAAGTGCCACAGAGAGATGGCTAAAGTGTGTGCAGCCAAGAAAGAAAAACTGAGATGGGGGGAAAAAACAGAAAAGGAAAAAAAGACAAAGAAATATAAAAAAGGAAATACAAAGTTTTATACAATATACACTGAGTGGCCAGATTATTATGATCTCTGAACACATAATAATCTGGCCACTCAGTGTGTGTGTGTGTGTGTGTGTGTGTGTGTGTGTGTGTGTGTGTGTATATATATATATATATATATATATATATATATGTATATATTAGAGGCCCGATGCATGAATTCATGCATGGATGGGGTCCGGCCAGTCTGGCCAGGGGGAGGAGACATGGGCAGTTGGCTGGCCAGCCTGCTGGTTGAACTCCTGGTCAAAGGGACAATTTGCATATTAGCCTTTTATTATATAAGGTATATACTGAATGGCCAGATTATTATGCTTCCAGAGATCATAATAATCTGGCCACTCAGTGTATAACATAAACTTTTGAATGTCACCATATAATGCACCCAATAGTAATAACATATTTTGTTTTTAATACATATTCTGTTCTAGTCTATGCATTAAAATTAAGGCCACTAGAAAATAACAGATACTCACGCACTAGAAATACAGCTTTCTGCTCCCGGGCTATCACCATAAGATCATTGGTTGGCGATAAGGATAAAATGCAATCTTGAAGCCAGGAAGTTTTTTGTGTTTTGCAAGTATTTCCTTCTTCTTCCTGTGGGTAAAATTGCCAAGACTGTATATGCAAGAAAATATCGAGAGTATTTCAATTTAGTTTGTCCACGCTGAAGGGCGAGGGGGGAGAAAAAAGGGAAAGGAAATCTTCCCAATTATTTTTATAAAGTCTCAATAATATCTCTTATCAAAACATATTAAAGGTGTCCAGCAAAATATCCACTGCATACATACCTCAGCTTGGAATATTAATGCAAAAAATTTTTTAATGCAAACAAATATAAACCATCAAGACATGAAAAGAATATCACATAAGGGCCACTCCGAAAATGACTATTAGAAAATGCAGTAATAATCCTATACCAGAGAAAGCCAGGCTGTCTATAGCCAGATAGCAAAAAGAACTGTCTGATGATTACGGCTGTAGGATCTGTGAACTATTTGCTACATCTGACACTTTTTTCTCTTTACTTGACCTGAAAGGTTTTTTTCATTTTTTCAAATGAGAAATTATTCATGCGTAGGTCAATTCCCAGAGTGAAAAAAAATCAACAGATCTTCAAAGGTCTGCTCTAGAAGGTCCCTCTCATATTCCTGTACTCCATCTGCCCTGCTCACTTTACAGACAACCCACACAATCAGTTCCGGGTGTATTTCCAGAGAAGCTTTCTGCACATGCAAGAAAATACATTTATTACCTTCCCCCCTTTTTCTAACCCAAACGGCAGCTCAGTATATACAGGCGTTCACAGAAGTAGGTTACAGAAGAAGACAAATAATACAATAACTAATAAATAATACAAGAGTGTGGGTCTGTCCCATGTCAGATGTTTTAGATGTTTCTAGTCTAAGTCCACGTAACACCACCAACATCCTGGAACAGTCGAGATGAGGAAATCCCCTCGCCAGTCTGGGTCCCAGGGAACTAGTGTTGAACTCATTTGCTTACATAACCAACAACAAAGCTGGATTTCCAACTTGTCAAGAAAGTTGAGGCTGGAGAGCGGGCTGGAAAGCCCGGAGGAGAATGATCGGTGAGCATCAGTACACACGGGGCACCGACAAGATGCAAGCTCATCGGAATGCTTTGTACAGTCAAGGCATCTGCCTACCGGTTAGGTTTTCGGAACACTTCTTCCATAGTAATGGGACCCACAGTCACCAATACTGCTCCCTGGAGCGGACTGATTGTTCAACAACACCATCATTGGACAAGCTAGCTAATTTCCCAAGAGAAGCATGAAATTAAAAAATAAAACAAAACAGCACCACCTCAGCTTTCCACAAAGACTAGCCCTACCAATTACTAAAGTAACATTAAATGCACCCATTGGCTACAAGCATAACTCCTGTTGGGGCTTGGGGAGAGAATGTATAATTTTATTTAAATGTGGCCTAATGTAATATTTTAAACAATAAAAAAAAAATCTGTCTGGAAAAAAAAAATAAAGTAGGGCAAGGCAAGAGGCTCTTTCTAAATTTCATTACTAACCTGATTACAGGTGACCCAACGAACAAAATTTACAAACACCATTAGTGACTTAAACCTACAATTTCAATTTTTAAAACAATTTTCCCTCCTAATTTTAAAGGAACTTAATGATAATTCAGTAACTCTTACGGTTTTACTTCCATTGGCAATTCAAGTAGGATCGATTCTATTACTATTTATTTTTAAGTTGTATGTATACTCAGATCTCATTTTAACAGAATTCTGTTTGCTCATTCATTCAATCTCTCTATCAGCATAAAGCTATGACAAAATGCCCACCTTTATAAGCCCTTAAAGTCAATAATGAGACATGCAGGGAAGGTAGGTGTTGAGTTTGCTATCTGTTTCCATTCTGATTAGGTGGCTACATCTTGGCTACCCGCATGTACTTTTGCATTTCATACATGGGCCCAAATTTGCTCTTATTCTTGTTCTGTCTTTGGAGCTGGCTACGCCTTTGGAATGGCTCATAGTCACAGACAGTATTGGAAATAACACAACACGTATCTACTTAGTACAGTTAAGCACAAAAATGCTCTTGACAAAGATTTTAAAATGTCAACCTAACACTGCAATGTGTCACCATCACTACAGAAGGAAAAGGTCATTGCCAGAGAGCAGGCACACACTGAGAAGGACTCACGGGTTCCTGAAGAGCTGGCTCCGTCTCCTCCCATGCTCCCCACCCATCATCTTCCCAGTTCGTTGATTTACCTGTTTTAAAACAGATGAAAAGTATTTACAGGAAATGCAGAGCTTAAAGTCTTTTAAAACATTTTCTCTAAACATAATAAAGACAAGCCCTGATATACAGTAAACATCATATAGGTGTACAGTATATAAATATAATGCTGACATAGAGTAAACTGTATTGTATCAGGATGTTGCTTATGTAATAATAACCAGGAAACTTATGTCCTAAATTTCCAAATCTATGTCATAATATAACGGTGCATGTTATTTGGATCTTAAGACACTGGACGTCAAGTTTCTCCACATTTAAACCAAACTGAAATGGTGACTTAAAAAAAAGAAATCTCAAAATGACAGCATTTGTTACTTAAGACATTAGACAAATTAAATATACACACGGACAAAAACACCTAAAATAGATGTCTTAAAAAGTGAGTTATTTTTTATAAGACAAGTATCAATGAAAACTAAATATTTAAATGACAGATGCACTATTTTCTACCTTTTTCTGATATTCTGTGATTTCTGACACATGAGAACATTTTCGTGGATTAAAATAAGATATTCAACAAATACTGTCACAAGGGATTAAAAATCCCATATAGGTTTGGAGAGTATGATTCCTTATATTGTTCATGTTTCATGTTTTTATATAATATTTTTGCATTTATCTCTTATGGTATCCTATCAGAAAGAATGAATAAAACTATCATTTTTTTAAAATCATCTATTCTGAGTCAAACAATAGCTAAATTATAAGTTTAGACCTCAGAATCAGATTTCCTAGGTTCTTAGCCTGGATCCAGCATTTACCATCTCTGTGATCTAGAGCAAGTTACCCACATCGATAAGCTTTAGTTCTCTCGCTGTAAAAGCTTGGAAAATAACAGTATCTACATCTAGTAGGGCTGTTATATGATGAAAACTAGGTCGCATAGTAACGTCCTCAATGCCTACCATGTAAGCTGGCAGTGCTAGTCCTCAAGATTTAGCCATTACAACACTATAAAATATGAACAAAATACTGTATTGAAACCGACCAGATTTAAGGATCTGAAGGGAAGAATCAATGAAAAAGATGGACTGAACCTGATATTTAGTATGCCTACGGTAGGAAGGAAATAGATCTTTCTCATCTATGAGGTTTTACAAGTTGCTAAAATTGACTAGGTCTAGAGATGGCAAAAAATGTTACAGTCTAGTATTTGGAATCAGTGTTCAATTAGCTTCATGGTAATAATATCCTCTTAGATCTCTGGGATTTAAATTCCAAGTAACTGGTTCTGAATACACATTGCTAGGTATATATTAAGTCCTCAAGGAGCACTGTCTTCTGATTAATGCCGTACAATTTACAAAAGGTTTCCAAACACGTGTCCCTTAAGCAGTTTAACAAATGTTCTGCTAAATACCATGGGCAGCAGGAACAGAGCCAAATACAAACAAATTCTTTAAAGAATCTGTAGTGTAGTTAGTGTGGGGGACAAACATATAATTATAATACACGCTGAGTGTTTTAACTGACTACTATGGGAACTCAGACGAGGCAGGGAGAGAGATGAAAAAACATAGTGAGGAGTCATCCTAAACTAAGTCCTTAAAAAGTGGCCAGGAACCGAAACCGGTTTGGCTCAGTGAATAGAGCCTCGGCCTGCGGACTGAAAGGTCCGGGGTTCGATTCCTGTCAAGGGCATGTACCTGGGTTGGGGGCACATCCCCAGTAGGGGGTGTGCAAGAAGCAGCTGATGGATGATTCTCTCTCATCGATGTTTCTAACTCTCTATCCCTCTCTTTTCCTCTCTGTAAAAAAATCAATAAAATATATTAAAAAAGGAAGGAAGGAAGGAAGGAAGGAAGGAAGGAAGGAAGGAAGGAAGGAAGGAAGGAAGGAAGGAAGGAAGGAAGGAAGGAAGGGCTTACTGTTAAGGTCGAAAGTAAGAATGGTTATTGTTTTAATATAGAAACATTTCCTGGAGATTGAGATTTGGAGTGTTTTTGTGTGTATGCCTTGGAAAATTACCGTTTGTTCTCTGGCAACCTAATTCAGTTAGGTAATCTCTCTATTCTGCTAATTTTTCCATTGCACCGAAAACAACTGCCTTATTGTGGGGCCAGTGGCAACTAGGCCATCCGTTTACACCGTTTGAGAAAACTCATTGGCTCTGGTATGAGAAAGCAAAGTAACCAGCAAAGTTCATCACCCTGAAATCCAATTTTTACATTGTTGTGAAAATAATGGATTTATCAAACTACCACTATCTTTAAAAAACCATGCAGAATTTACAGCACTTGATGAAGATCAGCTAGCCATTCATCCATCCATCCATCCATCCAAGAAACATAGCATCTTTTTTGTCTTGAGACTGAGTTAAATGCTGGCGATACAAAAGCAAATAAGCCTTCAGATTAGTCTGTGCACATGACCTCTGTTGAATGCTGTACAAAACCAAACCATGGAGACTGTTATTTCTCCCCCATCCTGGCATAAAGAGTACCTGACTCAATTCACAGATGACTCATCCGATCAAACAGAACACAGCAAATTGGACTTCCTGCCCCTGCAGAAACCCAATATCTCTATATGCCACAATTCAACACATCCTTGGAAAAAATGCTTTCTTTTATACAAGCTATCTGTGTTTATGACGGCTTAGCCATTTCTCCATGCCCCTGGCGGGGGAGTTTCTATTAAGAAGTGGGAAAGAATTTAATCAGGCATCTCCCACTGTCACAGGAATACATTTTCCAAGTACAAACAGAGGTTAAAGAAAGGTGAAACAAAGCTATCACTCGGGTAGCCTTGAGATGTTTTTGAAGGCCAGCCTAGAATCCCATACCTCTTTATAATACTGTAAGAAAATGCACTCCAAATTCTAGTCGTTTTAACAATGGGAAGCATTTTAAAACAACCATCCGTCTGCAAACTGTGCAATGCCTTTGTGGCTATTTCTGTGCAATGCCAGTGACAGAATGTCTGCAGTCTCCTGACTTCTGTTAAAATCATTTGACCCTTTTTTGCAGGCGGCTGAAGTCCAAATCAACAGAACCGAGCAGAAAATTAAGAAAATGGCATTCACACGCACTGCCTTCATACAACCAGAGCTGGTATCTTCTGCTGATCCCCCTCCTTCTCTAGGCAGTCCTAAGACCTCATCAAGAATGAGATCAAAGTAATGAATGGGGGATGACTGAAGTTTCAGGGTTGGCCCCACCCACAAATCAGAGGCAGATCGCTAGCTTCCAAGATAAACTTGAATCCCAATAAAATCTGATCCTAAACATCCTTTTCCGACCATCCATCACCCTTTCTTTTTCTCCATTTGGACTCTTCCCTCACTGGTGGGCAGGGGAAGCCAAGAAAAATACCATGCGAGCCACACAAGTAATTTAAAATTTACTAGCAGCTGTATTTGAAAACTAGGTGAAATTAGTTGTAATGATATTTTATGTAACGTAATAGGGAAAGTATTATCGTTTCAAGATGCAATCTATGTTCACTGGCTCATGATATTATTTTCTGTGTTTTCCACACTTAGGCTTCCTAGTCTGATGTGTACTTGACACTTAGGGCACACCTCAGTCTGGGCTAGTCACATTTCAAGGGCTTGCCAGCACCGTGGTGGTGGCTAGAGTGTGAGAGAGACAGCCCAGTTTTTACCCTTATCGAGTTAACTATTAGGTCTTTGGCTACCTGGCTTGGATAACCACCTTTACCCTAGGAGTTATATGACTTTGGACCATTTAATTAATCTCTTACTGCCTTGGCTTCCTCTTCAGCAAAATGGAGTTAGTAATTGTATCTACTCATATATACAGTTAATATACACAAAGCATTCGGAGACACTCCTAAGTGCTGATAAAAATGATCATTCTCCAAATACAACATCCTGGATTCCTCCTTCTCTGCCTCTGCCTCACACACACTGTCTCTACCTCTCCAGATTCGGCTTTTACTCTAAGGCTCAGAGGAATCCTTTAAGAAGTTTGCTTGCATCCACCAATGATCTTTCTTGTGAAACCACAGCATTTGGCTGTATTTTTTTCCCCCCAGGACTTAATTACAAACTGCGTGGGTCATCTGTTGAATTGTCAACTTGTCTGATTTTTCATAAATATAGATGCCTCTGTCTATACAATTAATGATTAAGCCTTGGAGGGCAGGGAGTGGGTATACTGTGTGTGTGCCAACACTTATACACACACATATACCTAATCTTTTCACATTCTAGCCATCTTTCCTTGAAATTCACCCAAAATCAAGGATGTATTGTAGATTAATTTGAAGTAAGAAGACTGTCCACTTAAAATATTTTGTTAGTCCAACTCCTTTGCTGAATACTCTTCTCTCTGATGTTATACCACATCTTAAATAATACTTGCTCTCTTTTTGAATAAAAGAGAATTAACAAAAAGCAACTACCTACCTCCTCACTGACTAGTAACTTGACTTTTCAGTCCTTAACTTTTTTGTACCCAGCACTAAAGAAGATTAGAATAATTGGTAACATAAGCATAAACCCTTGTTCTTACCTTTATCAAGTTAAATGTTTTGCCTGAATAAATGAAATCAATGACTTCAAAATACAAAATGTAACTACACCTCCTTCTGGAGAGAAGTTTTTCCCTGAATAGATCAGATTATACTAGCATGAAAGAAACTGTTCAGTCTCTCACTTGATAAATGATATACCCCCTGAACCCTTCACACCACTGAGAAAACACATTTTATCAACCATCAAAAGAAAAATTACTGATGTCTTTTTTAGGGTTATTTCCAATGAATGAGTTATTCTACCAACAAAAGCTTAAATAAGAAATTCAACTTCTGCTTTCTATAGCGATTTTTAATTCCAAAAGTACATTATTCTGATTTGCTTCTGAACAGTCTGTCCTCATAAAACTCATAAACTGCCTGTATGTTTGTCATATAGTAAGAACCTGATGCTGGAAAGGAAATTGAATTCTAGAAGTGGGCAATTAATTTGACAGCATTTGCTTTTTCCAATATGAGTATGTCAAGA